CCTCGAGATGTAATTAACCAGTAAAAACACGTTCCTATGGGAGTACTCTTGACCCCAGAACATGTACATACACCTGACTCTCTGGTTATGGGTAGTATATGTAGATACATGTAGATACTTCTTTTACTTCTTTTGCGGATATTGGTTTAAGTTGCCTCCGCCTGATCTTGTTTGGCCGGACATTCTTAATCTATCATTGCGAGGTTTATCGCACGTAGACTCTCCACGTTTTACTTTTTCTCTTGTTTGTCTCTTTGTTTTATGTCCCTTCTTATTTGATTCCTCTCATCTTTGAATCATTTATATGGTTCGTGAGAGAGATTTATTTGAATGGGAGGAAGTATACGAGGATCGACAAGCTGGCGACTCTTTTTAAAAATAAAAAAAAAAGAGAAAATTGAACGAAAAACAGGTTGTCCCGATCTTTTAAAAAGATCGAAAAGTAGATTTTTGCAAAATAATAAAATGAGTCATTAGCTCATTTTGCTTTTCTCATTTTGCAAAGCTCGGAGACGTCGTGAAATCGGGGAGAGAGTTGTCGCTAGCCCGTTTCATGATAAGATGGAGAACTCCTCCCTTTGGAGATATAGGGAGAAGTTCCCCACTTACCTCGCTAAAGCAAATGAGACAATCTCCATCTTTTTATATATCGATCTTAGGTTCTTCGGTGAGGTCGTTAGCACGGGAAAAACTCTCTATTACATGTATATGTTTGCATGTTGCATATTGCATGTCACATAGCACGCCACTTCACATCGTCTGGCCGCCACGACCCGACGAGCATTTCACTTCACTTCTTTCGACCGCCCCGGCACGACGAGCACTTCACTTCACTCTGTCTAGCCTCCCCGGCCCGACGAGCATTTCACTTTGCTCCGTCCGGCCGCCCCGGCCTTACGGGCATCCCACTTCATTTCAATCGGTTTCCCTGAGTCGGTTGGCTTAACACTTTAGCTCGACCAAATCTCTCGACCCAGTCGACCAACTACTTGCACTACCATATAGTCTTGAATGTGTGTTGGCATTTTTGCATATTGTAGCGCATATGCATGAATACATTATTGCATCACACCTTGCATCTGTATGTTTGCATGATTATGATCATATGCCTGAGTTGAACATTCTCTGGGGCCGCTACCACCACGACATGCCCATCTTTCTGGGGTCTCTGCTATCACAACATGCCTACTCTTTATAGGTTATTGCCCTATCGGCGTACTTTTTGGGGTCCCTGTTGCCATGGCATGCCCATTTCGTTAGATTATTGTCTTATCGGCACACCTTCTGGGGCCGCTGCGACTACGGCATGCCCATCTTTCTGGGGCCCCTGCCGACATGGCATGCACATTCCGTTAGGTTATTGCCTTATTGGCATACCTCGTGGGGCCGCTGCCACCACGTCATGCCCATCTTTTTGGAGTCTCTGCCGCCATGGCATGCCCATTTCGATAGGTTATTGCCTTATCGGCATACCTCCTGGAACCGCTGCCACCACGGCATGCCCATCTTTTTAGGCCCCTGCCGCCATGGCATGTCCATTCCGTTAAGTTATTTCCTTATCGGCATACCTCTTGGGGACACTGCCACCACGACATCCCCATCTTTCTGGGGCCTTTGCAGTCACGACATATCTATTCTTTACAGGTCACTGCCTTATCGGCATACCTCCTGGGGTCGCTGCCACCACGACATGTCTATCTTCTTAGGGCCACTGCCACTACGGTATGCCCACCTTCGTTTTATTCCCTGCCCCATGACACACCCATCACTTGTGTGTTTTGATTAATCATCTGCATTTGCATATTCACATGGATAGTGAGTCAGATCCGTTAAGAGAGTGACTCTTGCGTTGGTCGCGATGCCTTAACGAGCATTTCTTGCCGGGTCAATCCCGATGAGCAATGCGAGTTAAGTCATCGGGACTGACATGAGTATGACTATGCTAAGAATCCAATGAATCTAACTGGTTTCATCTCCTTTTGTGACACCCTTTAGATTCTTTGGATCTTTATGATGGGGCCAGTAAAGCGACCCCGTCAAAGTCATACCATACCCAGACTTACCCCACACTTAGATACTAGGTTGATGCACTTGTCGTTAGATGATGTGCTAGGCTATGTGCTAGGCTAGGGTTTAGGATGATTTAGGCTGTTAGGTAGTATTTTTTGACACCTCTGGCTATTATTGTGTGTTGTGTTATCTTGCGCTAGCCATGTGTCACATTCTCGCCTTTTTTTTCGGTGTGCTTGCATGTTTCTTGTGTGTGATAGTATATTAGAGCGATCTTTTGCAGTTGTCGTGACTATTTATACACACTCACACAGGTGTTATTAGGGGGAGCATGTAATGATTTCTAAAGCATGTAATGATTTCTAATCAATGATTTCTAATCCTTTGCTTGCACGTGCTCTTTAGCTCCCCCCAATTATAAGGCACGATTTGTTATTTTTGTGATGCATGGCGTGTCCGCTAACACTTATTTTATGCAGGTCGAGTCTTTATTTTCTATTTCAAATGTATTTGACAGAGTCTTAGAAGAGTCTATATCGAAAATAAGGTACGGGCATGGGTTTCGAAGCGGATGGCTCATCAAACCATGTGACGAGGACCTGGAGCAGCAGCTCATGTCCCATACCTTAAAGTCTGAATTTTATATTTTTGTATAGACTTAGGATCGGACATGTACATGCGGAGTCTGACCTCTTTTATTATTTTACTGAATTATGTTGTCGATCCAGCGGTATTTAGCATGTTTATATATTCTTTTGGGGTGTTTTCTTTCTCTTTTTCTTCTTGTATGTCTTTGCATGTTAGAACATTTTATATTGTTTCTTTTTTGTGTATCTAGACCTCACGAAAATGTAACATAGGCTCATTAAGGAACCTAATATTTTAATTTTTTCTATCTAAAAAAAATCCTAATGATAAAATATCGAGATAATCAAAATTTTATGGTTAAAAGATTCAGAATTCTTTAAAATCAGTCTTTACTTTTTCTGCATGGCCCTTCGGGCCGGTTTTAAAATGGTTGCATGCATGGTCATAACCCAAGCATATTTAATAGAACCTCTACGCTTAGGAAAATGGTAGATAACTGTATCATACTTGCATGTCTCGAGAAATAGCCCCCTTGCTTCTCCAATCTAACTGACTCAGCATAAATTTTCCTAGGTGGTTGTCTATACGTGTAGTGTTAGAAGACTTCCCGATCCAGACGGGATAAAAGTCTTCTTGTTGGAGCGTTTACAGTTTGTAGCTGAACCTCCGCTTTCTCTTTCTTCTTGAGGCGTCCTCACCACTTCGGCAGGTATAAGTCCCACCTCTTGGAGCTCCTGCTTTTAGTTATAGGATATAGTTCCTTTCTTTTGACCTTAGGGCTACCGAGATTTCTGTGGGTGACGCAATTCAAGGATTGCAGACCAGGGATCTCAAATTGTGTTGGGTCGACTATCTTCACGATCAGTTAAACTTAGAGTCCTAGTGGCTTGGGATGACGAATCCGTGGTACCCCGACCTGGCTACCTCTACCTCTTCTTCCCTACCCTTTTGGATATCCCTGTTGAGCCACTTATGCTCCTTTGACTTCGTTGATGTCACTTTGACGGCCCTATGCCGATAAGCTATCGTCTGTTCGTGATACGACGATTTGTCCTTTGTCATTACAATCCAGATGTGCTATGACGTATTGGGATACCCCCGTTGAAGTGATTTTTATTTATTTCTTAAGTTTCGTCAGCTGAGAAGCCGCTACCTATTTGAACGTGGGAGATTCACTCTCTGCCCGATAGCGCAGCGTAATCTTCAAAGTATTGAGACCGTTTCATACGAAATAATCACCTTTTGATAACCTACACCCCAGGTTCATGATGAAAAAACGAAACTCCTTTCATCGAGAGTCTTCTTGGGTATCCCCCGAGATGTAATTAACCAGTAGGAATACGTTCCTCTGGGAGACTTTTGACGTTGGTTCGCTATTCGATTCCTCTCCTCTTCGAGTAATTCATTTGGTTCGGGAGGGAGATTTATTCGAATAGAAAAATTATACGACATACAAAAAGATAAACTGGCGACTTTGAGATCTAAAAAGAAACGAGAAAAACACTCATCTACTTAGCCCATATGCACTCAGACATTTGTCGCGTCATTAGTATTGTCAGTTAGTTCATGCATGATCTCTATGAGCATCATTTCAACGTTGTCCATTGGATCCTCCATTATTTAAAATGCACGTCAAGCTCAGGTTTGTTATTCTCGTCACACCTCTCGTTTTGTTGCAGTTTATACTGGTGTCGATTGGGTGGGGTATGACGATTTACCTCGGGTTATTGCTCCTTCATATGGGGAGATGTTGTCACGTGGAAAAGTAAAAAAAAATCCGCGATTGCCTGTAGTAGTGTTGAAGCTGAGTTTCATTCTATGTCCCTTAGGGTATGTGAAGCCCTCTGGTTCGCATCATGCTCTGCGAGTTTGGTATGTCGGTGTATGTTCCTCTGCGGTTGTTTTGTGACCATCAACATTGCTCATAATCCGGTCCAACATTATCATACCAAGCATGTGGAGATTGTCCGCCACTTTATCAAGGAGAAGCTTGATTCAGAGAAAATTTGTGTTCCTTTTGTCTCATCCACAGGCTAACTCGCAAATGTTCTCACAAAGAATATTCCTCCACCATTGTTTGACAATTTCAATCCAAGTTCAACATGATTGACATCTATACTTCAACTTCAGGTAGTTTCCTTTCATGTTATTTCCTATTTTGTTTTATTTCCTAGTTTATGACTTTCTTTTTATCAATGAGTATTTATTATGAAGAGATTTGAGTATTATATTTTTCTTGTTTTAGAATCATTGTATCATGTATTTATATCTCTTTCAATAGTAATAATATTATCATGCTCAATTCTCAAAAACTACAAATATGTAAGTATATAAGAATTTGGTGGTATGCATGTAAATCTTACTAAAAAGAATTAAGAAACAGTGGAGGAATGTTAACGCACCAATATACGTCTGATGGCTTGTAGTCGAAAGCATATTTGAACGTTGTTGCTGTGTATACCATGTAGCCTGCAGTCGTGTGCAATACACCCTATAATAAAAAAAAAAAAGCAAATTATCAGTTTTGTTACATAGAAAGTGTAAGGCTAAAGTTTAAGAAATCATGTGGATACAACCTTAGGCTTTCCAGTGCTGCCGCTTGTGTACAAGAGAAACAATGGATCTTCAGAATCCACCCACTCTACATCACACTTCGTTGAAAATTTCGGAACTACATCCTGGAAGACATTCAAACGAGTCAATGACCAGTTATAGGCACAACGGAGTAAAGTTTTGAAGACCACTCAGGGGGAAAAAAGTTAATATTTAAAAACGAGTAAAGTGTCAAAATAGTTCACTAACTGTTTACATTGGATCTTTTTAGTTCCAGAGTCTATAAAAGTTCCAAATCAATCTCTAAACTCTTTAAATTGGACCTGTGGAGACTATTTCAGCCCATATTAAAAAAGACTGGGAACTAAAAGCTCCTAAAAAATTCAAATAGTTGGACTATGACATAAATATTGTAGGTATGTGGATAATGTGGGCATTCCAAAGGTGTATTTCTCGAGATTCAATACGAAGTGAATTAGATTCACCAACCTGCCACCATATGTCTCTTCCATCTCGCCATTTTGTCTCTTTTCTACTCATGGCTGACTTATTTTCATATGTCAGGCATAAATCTGTTCATGTGTAAGGTAAGAACAAAAGCTGAACAAAAATAATGATGCGAAATTTACAAAAGGAAAAATAAAAGTCACAGGCAGACATCACATTATTACATTAAAAATAGATAGAAATTACAAAAAACTATTTAGCATTGCCTCATTATGATGGACAAGATAAAACATCAACATTCTTTGTTAAGCACACAGAATATCAGCAACCTCAAATGGGAAATCAAACATCTAAAAAGAGATGTTAAGAGTTCAAATATTAATTGAAAAACCAAAAAGATTTACAGGAGAAATAATGGTTAAAAGAAGATGGGGGTTGCCTATAGTTGGACAAATTTCTAGCATATAAACATTCACTTTAGGCAATGAAAAAAATAGTAACATCTAATTTGCACCTTAGAGCTGCAGTAATTTATATGCTGCTTTATGAAATTTCATGCATGAATATTGACCTGACACGTTTACTCAATGCTCAACAATACTTGTTTTTCACATTTCATGGCATCAAGATAGTCCGGTAAATACCCTAGTATTGAAGATTTTATTTTCCAAATGAGAACCAGGGAAATCCACAAACTTACTGCAATAGATCTAGCTTCTATTATCAAGAATGACAAAATTCAGTAAAATTAAATATAGAAAATAAAACAATGTAGAAAAATTATAAACAAAAAATTCTACAAAAGGATAGGTATATATACATCGCCAAGAGGCATTACAAAATTGGAATAGACAAAAAGGAGGGGGTGGGGAGGCATGAACTAAGATCAGAGCGCTTTAAGCTTTTTGTTATGATTAGATAGTGAGTGGGACTCACTGCGAAGAGAGAGAGAGAGAGAGAGGACAAATTCGACATTGCCACAAATTCGACATTGCCCAAACTAAATGATAGAGAAATATCATTCAATAGATGCTCAGAAATTTTTTTAATGTAGAACTATAAAGTCATTTGATGAATATATCGATCAATGGATTCCTTATAGGCATATATCAAGTGCAAATAATCCACTTTTAAATTTCCTTTTATGAAGTGTATCAAACACAACATGTTTCTTACGATCATATTGTATTCTATTGTGTGCAATATTAACAATTGATTTATTGTCATAATATAGCTTCTTATGCTCTTTCTTATTGATTTTTAAATCTTTTAATATGATCTTAATTCATAGAAGTCCTGCAGAATTATTGTGCAATGGCGCTTTAAATTCGGTTTTAGCATCTAATCTTGAAAACACAACTATTTCCTACTCATCTAAAGTATGATATTTCCTCCAAAGAATGTATAATACGCTGAAGTACCTACGATCCACATCTATATATTCTCCGATTTGGAAGGTATCACGTCTTTTGTATAGAATTCGTTATTTTGGACTTAATTTGAGATACATGAGAACTCTACAAGTGGCTTGAAGATGTAACTATAAGTTTGTGTGCATGTCAAGAAGGGCGTGAGATGGATAGATTAGTTTTCCTACTAACAATTGAAACTGTCCCGTATCTACACAAGTTCTTTCTTCATCAAGATCTAGTTCTTTCATAATTCATTTAGAATTTCACAAGATTTACACGCCTTCAACTTGCTTTTTGCTCAACAGGACCATAACAATTTTTGTTGAGAGAAAAATATCATTAATTCAAATTGAGCAACTTCTACGCCCGTGAAGTATTTGAGAATAACCTAAATTTAATAAAGTCAGCATCACGAACTCCAGATTCAAATCATGTAGTTTACTGACAATATAGAATAATTTAGACTCTCATACCAACAGAAAAACCATTCTTGGCACATTCCGCAAGTGCACTATCCACAATATCTTTTAGTATGAGTTCTTTAGAACCCCTGCGCACACCATTGCATGTTATTACAACTTTAGGCTTGCAATCCATTATCCTTTGGGACAAAGACTCCGAAGAAAAGCCAGCAAAGACAACCTGAAGAGAGAAACAATAACAAGATCACCAAACATCAAAATATCCACCATAAGAAATCTGAAATAGCGGAGAAAAGCTTACGAAAATACCGAGTGCACAGCACCAATACGAGCACAAGCCAACATAGAAATTGGAAGCTCCATCAACATTGGCAAGTAAATCACAACTGTGTCGCCCTTTCTAACACCCACATCTTTCAAGTAATTGGACAGCTAATTCGGCACGGAGAGGAAATTATAAATCTGTTTTAAGAAATGAAGTGTAAAGTTGAATTTGATTTAGACAAAGGAACGGCCTCACCTGGCAAACCTTCTCCAGAAGCTCATTATAAGTCAGTTTCCCATCCTGGTCTGGCTCATTTCCTTCCCATAAGATTGCAACCTTGTCACCATTCCCAGCTTCTATGTTTACATCCAAAGCATTATAGCAGATATTGGTGATTCCTCCTATGAACCACTGCAAACCACATCAGGTGAACAAATGTATAGAAACAAATCATTCTCCAAGAAAAACAGATTTGTTTCAGAATTATTACTACGACTGACCTCTATCTTCACAATCCCCTTCCTCGCATCAAGATTCTCTGAGAAGACTTTTGGATCCCATTTCTTCTTCCAGTAAAACTGGGAAGCTATCTCCGACCAGAAACCAGCCGGATCTTCTATTGATCTCTTATACATTTCCGCATACTAAACAGAAGAATGGGGCAACCACAAGGGGCAAAACAAAATAAAAAACAATCGAATAACTAAACAAAAGCGAATCGTTAGGTATAAAAAAAATCATCAACATCATAATAATAAGGGGCATTACATAGCACACAATTCTTCTATATTTACATATTTCACGCCCAAATCCTCATATTTACTCACATACAACTCAATTATTTCCCATCACATCGAAGCAATCACTAATTATCACTTTTCACAACTCAAATCCACTTTTTCATGCACAGGTAAAGTGGTATGCAGGTAAATATTAAAGTTTTGGTGTGAGATGTGTAAATACAAAAGAATTCTGTGTTATATAGTAAATTTCCCTGATAATAAATAAATACATGATATCATTGTCATTCAAATGAGACAATGCTCGCGGGAATCAAAACGACGAATACTTTCCCTCGTTTCATTCTATCGAGCGCGCAGAGTGCGAGATTAAGCAAGCAGAAACAGGAGCGAGGAGTCAGAGAAGAATGGAAGAAGAAGAAGAAGGAAGAAGCCATTGATTCAAGTGAAGGAAAAAGAAGAAATATCGGTACCTGAGCTCGTGTGCTTGCACATAGATTGCCCTTCAATCTCTACTCTCAGGCAGAAGCCATTTTGATGATCATGTGAGGGATGGAGAAGGAAGGGGAGACAGCGCTACATCTTGTGGGAGATCACTGATTTTCGAGAAGAAGCTCTAAACCCCTAACGTGTGAAGAGGAAGAAGCATTGAGTGGCTCTGATGCAAAGGAAAGAGGAAGACTCGAGCCCTAATAGAGGAAAGGGAGCTCTTGTGCGTGCAGTATCAGCTGGATCTCGCGTGCAGAGGAGGAGAAGAGGTAGGGTGTCAATTCGGGTTTAGGTCCGACCCGAAAATGACCTGACCCGAATAGGTCAACCAGAACCCGACCCAAAAAATAAAAGTGTTAAAAACTAAGACTCGAACTCGAGCTTGACCAGCTAACCCGAACCCCACCTAAAATTTCGTGCTTATTTGGTTCATGTTTAGATTTTTGGATTCAACCCGAACTCGACCAGAATAATAAACAAGTCGAATTCTCAGAACCGAACCCGACTAGAAAAATATTCGAGTCAACTCTAACATGAATTTTTTCTTGTACAGTTCAACTCGTGTTAGAGTGTCGGGTCAATTTTTGACACCCCTAAGAGGAGGTCTCACGTGCGTCAGTGCTTTTTGACTAAGATATCAAATGTGAGTTTTGATATTTTAATTAACTTATTTGATAAAATTATATTTATATATATATATATATATATATATATTGAAAAGACAAAATTCATTGATAAAAAATAGATGATACAAAGGTTTTAGTGAGTGAGTACAAAGAACCCAACTCACAAGGATTACAAACGTATTCCCCAAAAATAAAACAAAAATAAATAACTCCTAATCATTGTGGGTTTAGTCGGTGGATATACCGCTTCCCCTTCCCCTAGATCTAGGGAGGGAGTCCAGCAACATACTGAGATGTGGGCTTCCGTCTGACACAATGATACAGTCATCCTGAGATTTGCTGAGATCTGGCACTCCTTTCTTCTTCTTCCTATATTTGTAAACCTGTCAATCATATGCCAGAGGTAGTTCTATGTGAACAATAGGTGAATCTTCGATGGAGATAAATTGTTGATCTGACTCAGCCTGCAGCACACCTAGATCCTGCCACTCCTCCATAACTTGAGTACCTTCTTCTCTCACAATAGGTGGTTCGAAGACACTTCGACTAGCATCTGCTATGATAAAATTCATAGAATTTGTAATCTGAGGAAGAGTTGTCTCAACAACAGTAGGCGGAAGTTGTTGGTCTGGTTGGTGAAAGATAGTCTTATGAGTCAAATTCTCATTCAACATTTATGGAAGTTTAACAGTGTCTGTTATATTTTCCTCCACATGAATGATGTTTTTAGGACCTGTCGATCTCAAATATGGGTGAAGCCTGAAATATTTGACAGGGGTGTGCCCAAATAGTTTACAGTGATTGCAGTAGTAGGGTCTTTGTTCTGCTATAATTGGTTGTCAATACCCATTGTGGGCAGTACCAAATCATATTTCATCAGGGAGAGTGATATCCCTTTCAACAAGAATTCTTGCAACCGAAGGTCTAGTTAGATTGAAGTTGGGTGTATTCGATTGAAGTTGAAGTTGGGTGTATTCAATTTCATAAATCTCCCTAGTGCAGCTCCAATAGAGTAGAGGACTTGGTGATTGAAGTAGTGCAACTTTAAACCAAATTGAAACTATAGGCGGTTCTTGACTAGGATCAAATTCAGGAGACCACTTAATATATATAAACACATACATGCATACATATATATATATTAAATTTTATTATTGTAATGTTAAATTTATGTGTATTTGAAGTTAGTATCAAAGCAATTAAGTCCCAAATTAGAGAGAGTTTGAGGTCAATATTTGTGCAAAAAATTTGAGAGAACTAAGGTAAATTTTAGGGTTTATTTATTTTAATTAATGAATCTAATATACATATTTTATTATAAAATATTAATAATATATTTCATTAAACATAATTTAAGTTGTAGAAGCTCAGTTTGGAGGGAATAGAAGAAAATAACGATATGAAAAATGAGTACTCCAATTAAATTATAATATTATTTTTGCATATCTTCTGAACCAGATGTATGAATTATTATTCATTCTTGATTAATGAAATCGATTCATTTATCTTAAATTTTATCAATCATTTCGATATAAATACTTGTAGTATCATATTATGACAGATTTTATGCATTTTACATGAGTGATATGAAATTATGAATGACGTGAACTGCATAAATTGATTGTATATATATGTTTGATTATGATGGAGTTGTTTATTTATGGTGCTGGCGATGAATGTTAAGATAGTCATTTATGTAAATAAAAATATATATTAACATTAAAGTATTTTAAGTGGTACAATTTTTTTACGGTAATCTTGCGTCGGTTGTACATATATAAAATAATAATATTATGAAATATCATGAGTGATTATATTTGTAAACTATAAATGTTTTGTGCTAACTTATTAAAAGTTTAACTGACATGTATATTATTTTTTTATTATGTTATTGTAGTCTATGAGTGTAAGTATTTATTGGTTTTGATTAGTTCACTATTATTTTAAACTGACATTTCATATTTAATTTGTTGAGTAAATGATGAACAATAAAAGACAATATTTACAGAAGACGCGACCAAATTGAACTAATTAAAATTTATAAATATTTTAATTTTAATTTTTAGCGGCACTTTCATTTATCTTGTTTAAATCGTTAGAAATTATAAAAAATATAATTTTTCACTATACAATCGTCTATACCCATCTATGTTAATTTCAAACTCCAGCCTGGGTCATGATATGGTATACATTGAAATCAAATTTCACACTATTTTGGTCTTTGAAAGAGAACAAAATGGTAACTAAGGGCCCGTTTGGTGCAGCTGCCTCTGCGCGATGTTGTTTGACAAGGCGTTTCTCTCGCGGCTGCTGCGAATTTGAGTGAAACGCCGACCGCGGGTGAGACCCCGTTGCCCGTGTTATCCCTCTGATTTTTTACTCTTGTACCCCTCCATTCGATCCCGCCTTCGTTATTTCTCCCACCTTCTTTGCTAGACCGAATCCTTGTCTCCTCAGTCGTCGGCTTCTTCTTGTCAGCGGGCTTCGTAGGTGCCAGATCGCATCTCCCAAGATTCGGTCACGAAGGGCGCTACGATCAACTTTTGTCGACTGTATCGCGAGAGAAGCAGAGGGCACCGTGTGAAGGAGCAGACAACGCAGCGAAGAAGCGGCACCGTGTGAAGGACTCTCGGTAGGGAGAACAGTTGATTGTGGAGGTAGACAATAATGTGATGGTGTGAAACTGAATGTTGCTACTAAGGTGAAAATGCCAAAGACATCTGCTAAGCTTAGAACCTTGCAGCCAGTGGAATGCTCTCGAAGGTAAAGGAGAAAGGTGAGTTCAACGAGCTCGCGGTAGCCATCACGCCGCTGAAGAGCGAGCAGACGATCCTCAATCAGCAACACAACGGCGGCGGAGCTTGCTCGCTCCAAAGTGCTTCCATGTTTTCCTCCTCTCTTTCGCCCTTTCTGCTCTCCAATTGCCTCTCTCTTCTCCATTCTCCCCTTCTATGTAAGTTATTAGAACTGTTATTCTTCTATAAATTATACTCCGAGAACTGTTATTCCCCTCTCTCGCTTTATTCGACCCTTCTGCTCTCCACTGTAACTATACTTTTATGAGGTCTTATTGAGAACTTTGTTGAACTCATCAAAAGTTGAAGAAGTTTCTTGGGTTCAATTTTTTTTGTAGAAAGAGTAAGAAAGGTCGGAGAGCTTCAAGGGCATATGATTTGACCAAGAAATTCTCCCATTAACAAATTCCAAAGATTAGAAGCTTGATCATAATAAATAAAAGAAATGGTAACCCATAGTAATAATTATTTCTCAAATAAATTTCCCCTAATGCTTTCTTTTGCAAATAGGTAAGCGGATGTAGAACTTACATTTCAATACTTAAAGTAGGTTACAGAAAAATATTACAAAAAATACTCCAGGTATTTAATTAATGAATCATTTTTTATGACCAATTGAGTTTAGTTTGTTGCAAAAATTGGCTATACATTATATTCTAGTGAGTTCTCAGCACAATTTTATATGTATTTTCTATAAACAGTGGATAAAGGTCCAAACGAGTCCTATAAATCGAAGGGATATATATGGCTAATTGTTTCTTTTCTAAATCGAGACAAAAACACAAAGACAGTCTTTCTTTCTTAATTTCTAAAGAAAATCTTTCTAAACAAATGAAGACTCCATGTGATGCATAGCACAAGGTCTCAAGCCGACATTAGAGATGCAATTATGTGTTACATTGATCAAGTACATTTTAAATTTCTATTAACTCAAATGCAGTCATGAAATATGAAGTTACATTTATATATACCTAACAATGAAAATTCTCATATG